TTTTGTATTTTTAGTAGAGACGGGGTTTCACCATGTTAGCCAGGATGGTCTCGATCTCCTGACCTTGTGATCCGCCCGCCTCGGCCTCCCAAAGTGCTGGGATTACAGGCTGGAGCCACCGCGCCCGGCCGATGAAGTATGTTTCTTGAAGGCAAGGAATTGTTGGATCTTATTTTGTAATCTATTCAGCCACTCAACTTCTTTTGTTTGGAGAGTTTAGTTTATTTACATTCAATGTTATCATTGTTAAGTAAGGACTTATTTCTGCCATTTTGTTATTTTTTATTCTGGTTGTTTCATGGTCTTCTTTCTTCTTTTCTTCTTTCCTGTCTTCCTTTTAGTGAAGGTGATTTCCTCTGATGACATGTTTTAATTTATTGCTTTTTGTATTTTGTGTATCTGTTGTATGTTTCTAAATTTGAAGTTATGATGAGGCTTGCAAATAGTATCTTATAACCTATTGTTTTAAACTGATGACAACTTAACAGTGATTGCATAAACAAACTAACAAATAAGTAAAGAGAAACTAATAAAAACTCTACACTTTAACATCATGCCCCTACTTTTAACTTTTTGTTGTTTCTACTTATATTTTATTGTACTGTCTTTGTCTTAAAAAGTTATAATTATTATTTTTGATCGCTTCATCTTTTAGTCTTCCTACTCAAGATATGAGTAGCTTGCACACCATAATTACAGTGCTATGATATCCTGTTTTTTTGTGTACTTACTATTACTATTGAGTTTTGTGCCTTCAGATAATTTCTTATTTTTTATTAATGTCCTTTTCTTTCAGATTAAGGAACTCCCTTTAGCTTTCTTATAGGATAGGTCTGGTGTTGATGAAATCTTTCAGCTTCTGTTTGTCTGGGAAAGTCTTGAATTCCTTCATGTTTGAATAATATTTTCACCAGATATACTATTCTGCAATAAAAGTTCTTCTTCCTTTGGCATTTTAAATATATTATGTCACTCTTTCCTGACCTGCAAGGCTTCCACTGAGAAGTCTGCTACCAGGCATATTGAAGCTCCACTGTATGTGATTTGTTTATTTTCTCTTCCTACTTTTAGAATCCTTTATTATTCACCTTTGGGAGTTTGATTATTGAATGTCTTGAGTTAATGTTATTTGGGTTAAATCTGCTTAGTAACCTTCTTGCACTTGAATATTGATATCTTTCTCTAGGTTTGGGAAGCTCTCTGTTATTATCCCTTTGAATAAACTTTCTACCTTCATCTCTCTATTTCCTCTTCAAGGCCAAAAACTCTTAGATTTTCCCTTTTGAAGTTATTTTCTAAATATCATAGGCATACTTTCATTCTCTTCTTCTTTCTTTTGTCTCCTATAACTGTGTATTTTCAAATAGCCTGTCTTCAAGCTCACTAATTCTTTCTTCTGCTTGATTAATTCCACTATTAATAGACTCTGATGCATTCTTTAGTATTTCAATTGCAGTTTTTAACTCCAGAATTTCTACTTGATTCTTTTAAATTATTTCAATCTCTTGGTTAAATTTATCTGATAGGATTCTGAATTCCTCTCTGTGTTCTCTTGAAATTTCTTGAGTTTCCTCAAAAGAGCCATTTTGAATTATCTGTCCGAAAGGTCACACGTCTCTCTCTCTCTCTGGGATTAGTCATTGGTTACTTATTTAGTTCATTTGATGAGGTCATATTTCCTGAACGGTCTTGATGCTTGTGGATGTTCATTGATGTCTGGGCTTGTTTGTACCCTTCCTTCCTGGGAAGGCTTTCTAGGTATTCAAAGGAACTTGGGTGTTGTGATTTAGTTTTTGGTGACTGCAGCTGTATCTGCATTAGGGGGCACCCCAAGTCTAGTAACACTGTGGCTCCTGCAGACTTGAAGAGATACCACCCTATGGTCTTAGATAAGATCTAGAAGAATTCTCTGGATTATCAGACATAGACTCTTATTATCTTCCTTTTCTTTCTCCAAAACAGAGTCACTCTCTTTCTCCTCTCTCTCTCTCTCTCTCTGCCCCCCTTCTCTCTCTCTCTCTTTGTGTGTACTGAGCTGCCTGGAGCTAGAAGAAGGGTGACACATGTACCCCTGTGGCCACCACAATGGAGACTGTGCTGGGTCAGACCCAAAGCCAGCACAGCACCAGGTGTCACCAAAGACCTGTGGTAACCACTGTCTGGCTACCAGCTATGTTCGCTCAAGGCCCTAAGGCTCTAGAATCAGCAGATGGCAACGCCAACCAGGCTTGTATCCATTACTTCAGGATGCCAAGTTTCCAACAGTCCTGGGCAGGTCCAGGGATGCCATCTGGGAGCCAGGACCTGGGGTGAGAAACTTTAGGAATCTACCTGGTGCTCTATTCTACTGCAGCTGAGCTGGTACCCAAGCCCAAGGCAATGTCTTTCTCATTCTTCCCTCTTCTTTCCTCAAGCAGAGTTGTCTCTCCCCTTGGCTACCACTGCCCCAGGCCCACGGTGAATACTGCCTGGCTACTGCTGATGTTCATTCAAGGATCAAGGGCTCTTGAGTCAGCTTATGAATGCTGCCAAGCACAGGACTCTCCTTTCAAGGCAGTGGACTCAACTATGGCCACTAGGGCAGGTCCAGAAATGCCATCCAAGAGCCAAACCCTGGAATTGGGGACCCTAAGAGCTCACTTGGTTCTCTACGCCACTGAGGCCACACTGGTACCTAAGCTGCAAGACAAAGTCCCCTTTATCCTTCCTTCTACTTTTCTCAAGCAGAAGGAGCCCCTTCCCATAGCCACTGCAGCTGGAAAGGTGCTTGGTGACATCTGAAGTCAACATATCTCTTAGTCTCACCCAAGGCCAATGGCAAGTACTTCCTGCAAATTATTGAGGGTCCCTGGCCTCTAGAGTGAGCAGGTGATGAATGCTGCCAGGACTGGGTCATTGCCTTCAAAAAAATGGGTTTCCTTCTGGCCCAGAGTGTCTAGAAATGTTGTCTGGGAACTAGGGCCTGAAATGGGGGACTCAGGACTCTGTCTTATACCCTATCCTACTGTGGCTGAGCTGACATCCAACTTGCAATACACAGTCCTGTTTACTCTTCCTGCTCCTCTCCTCACGCCACACAAAGGAATCTCTTTCAAAGCTGCAAGCTGTGATGCCTGGTGTTGGCAGAGGGATGATGCAAGCACTCCCTTGGCTGCACCAGCTGGTGTCTCACTAGATCATATGCCCCCCAAGTCCACTGGCTTCAAGCCCAGCACACCATCAGGAGTTCCCCCTAGAACTGCAGTCCTTGTGACCTAGACAGACTTTTAAAAGTTTCTTTAGGACCCCAGAGCACTTCAACCTATGGTCGTGAATCTTTTTGGAACTCAGGTTCCAACCATTGGGATGTGTAATTCCTTTCTGGCAAGGGCTGGTCTAAATGCTCCCTCCATGGGTGCTGGCTGAGTTCTGCCTAGTGTTGTTTCTTGCTGTGACAGAGCAGCACTGGGTTCCAATGCAAAGCCCCACAATGACTGCACTATTCCTCCTGCAAGTGCAGAGATTCTCTCTCTGTTCCATGCGGCAGCTGCTGGGTGATGAGGGAGGGGTGGTGTCAGCAATTCAAGACTGCCTTTCTTACCTTTATCACCTCTTTCAGTGATATGAAGTTAAAACCAGGTATTGTGATCACTCATTGGATTTTTGGTTGCTATGAGGGTGCTTTTTTTGTGTGGATAGTTGTTCAATCTGGTGTTTTTGCAGGGAAGACAATCAGTGGAGGCTTCTATTCAGCCATCTTGCTTCACCTCCCTTGGTAATCTCACATTTAATGAGTGCTAAGTACTTTGAGCTCGCTGTGCTTTTAAATTTTGTTTTACTTCTGGCTGCTTAAAAATTTCCCCATCTCTGGCCAGGTGCCGTGGCTCACGCCTGTAATCCCAGCACTTTGGAAGGCTCAGGTGGGCGGATCACGAGGTCAGGAGTTTGAGATCAGCCGGGCCAACATAGTGAAATCCTGTCTCTACCAGAAATACAAAAATTAGCCAGACATGGTGGCACGTGCCTGTAGTCCCAGCTACTTGGGAGGCTGAGGCAGGAGAATCACTTGAACTGGAAGGCAGAGGTTGTAGTGAGCCTAGACTGCGCCATTGCACTCCAGCCTGGGTGACAAGTGTGAGACTCCATCTGAAAAAAAAAAAAAATTCCCCCATCTCTTGAAGCCAGCAATGCAAAACAAATATCATTTAAGCAGGACCTAGTTGTTTTGAAACAGGAAGACCTCTCAAACATCTAGTCTCAAGTATTTAGCAGAGAAGTTCCACATATCACTTTTTACCTATTGCAATCTGGCTTTAACCCCCACTACACGTCGAAACTACTTATGCCAAGTCACTCAATGTTTTAATTGTTGCCAAATTTAACATGCGCTTTTAACTTATTTTCATACGTAAGCCCCCTGCCCATGCAGTCCCGAATGCTCCCTTTTTCTTGAAACTCTTTTGTTCTTTTGATTGTGTGATATAGTTATCTCCTATATATTCTATCTTACTGGCTGTGCCTTTTTTAGCCTTCTTGGGGAGGTCCTTTTAACCTTTCTACACGTACTGATGTCCTCAGAAATCTATCTGCAGCTTTCTTCACCTTCTACTTTGCATACCTTCCTGAAATAATGTCATCAACTGCTAGGCTCAGTACGCTGAATTCCCCCCATCATGTCTTGCACTTCCAAGCTTTTATACATGCTTCTCCCTCTGCTTGGAGTGTGTCCTCTCATACTTTTGAAAACCAGATTAACAAGTTGAGTCTTTTCTTTCTAAGAAAGACTCAACTCAGGTCGGTTCTTCTCCAAGATGCCTTTGCTGATATCTAATCTACATGCTCCCAGAGCACCTTGTATCTACTTCCGCCATTGCATTTTACACACTATATCGTAATCATCTGTTTACTGATTTGTCTTCCTGACATAGTTATGCTGTATCAGCAGTGTCTAGCACAGGGCCTAGTCCATGGTAGATAAACAATTGTTTGTTGAATAAATAAAAGAACACCCAAATAAGCAAATGAATGAATGGGTAAGTGATTCTGGAATGGACAATTTGGGGTTTGGAAAGAGGGTAAAGGATGTGAAAGAAAAGCAGAAGAAAAAACGGGAAATGACTGGTATATTTAAGCAGCTTGTTTTGTTACCCTTGTTTACGTGGAATAAAGTTGTCATTTCATTTCATCAAAAGTTTATTGAGCATCCAGTATGTGCTAGGCACTCTGCTGGATGCTAGTAATACAAAGATGAAGATGAAAACAACACAAAAACAAACAAACAAACAAACCCCAATTCCTTACTAACCCCTCCCCACCCCCAATTTAAGGCAGATTTGGCTTAAGCCTGGGAAGCTGGCCCCTCAGGGATTCAGCACCAGGTATGGCATGCTCTCATCTCACCCTCACCTTCACCTGTGCATCTCAAGGCTGACCAGCAGGTACTCCTTCTCCAAGTCCTGCTGCCTCTTCCACCTTCCTGAGAAACTTTCCCCTACATTCATTATCTCATTATGGATGAGGCACCTGGGAAGTTTAGGGGTGCTGCGAAGGCACACCTGCTCAAATGACCTGGGGAAGTGCCAAGGGACAGGGAGCTGAGACAGGCATGCTGTTGGGGTAAGGGCAGAGGGGGCAAACTAGAAATGTCAGTGCTTCTGGGGCTGAGACAAAACTTGACCTGGTGTGTAGGTGGTGGGTAACGGGGGCCTTGGAATAGCTCCATGGGATGAAGGAGAATCAGAGCTAGAGTTTAGGAGGTTGGGAATGGGCCAGGGATGCAGGGACCCTTGGAGGCATTAAGGAGGAGGGGATGGAATACACAGAGGGCCTCCTTCTCTTTCAGATTTGTAATTGCCCTCTCTCCTGACATAGTAGATTACTGCCACTCCTATGAACTGTTCAATAGGTGGTGGCATGGGCATGTCCTGGCTACACAGCGGCCCAGTCTCTTTATTTTGATGTTAGTGTGATTAGGGAGTCTGCCCTTGTTCTGTGCCCTGGGACCCGAGCATGTGGGAGCAGGGCAGATGGGTGGCAGGAGGCCAGGGGTTGGATCATGTTCCCCTGAAATGCTGGGAAGCAATAAGCCTCCTCCTCCCCCCACCATTTTTCTGGAGATTAGGACTTATTCTCACAGCTGGAGGAAGCTCAACAACTTTCCTGAGGACAATGATTGTTTGAAAGGCTTGTTTTGTAAGGAAGCCAGGACGAATGTATGAGTTAGATGAGCTAAAACAGTTCCTCACTTGGTCTAGTTTTCTGGGCCAGGGGAGTAAGTGGAATTCACTTCTCTATACGAATAAGCCCATCCATCTCTTCTGTTCATGAACAGAGACAAAGAATGCTTGGCATGACATGCCTCTGAGGGAGGCTCTGGGAGGAGGCCAAGCTGGCAGGTTCGGGTTCTTTGCCCTTGCTAGGGCCTAGGTCAGAGGGAAAAGAAACATACTTGTACCCTTCCCTCACCACCTCGTAGGTCCCCAGGTACCAGGTGCCCAGGGAAGAAGGCCTTCACAATGATCCCCCAGCACAGAACAGCCCCTGCACACCCAGTAACCGGCATCTGGCTTCTCCTTAGCTTCGTGCAGCTGTGGATTTTGGGAAAGTGGCCTCTTTAATCTGAGCTTGCCAAAAAAAAAGTGCCCCAGCACTCAGGCATTTGTTCAGTGGGAAGGGTGGCGGGTGGGAAACAACACAGCTCCCTGGGAAGAGCACAGGATAGTCACGGGCGGGTTAGGTTACTGATGTTAGTTTCCATAAAACGCTTTTGGGTGTTGGGCCAGAAATGTAATAATCTATGTGGTCCTAATAGGGCACAACCTATACCAAGTGAGAACACAGCCTGTAAACCGGAAGCAAATGCTCCCCGGTTTCACCACCTCAACACTGCCGCCTCCGCGCACCCGCCTCCGTCTGCGCATGCTCATACGCGTCCACACCCGAGACACCCGCGCGCCGCCGGGACCTCCCCTAGCCC